CTGTATGTTTACTGATATGGCTGTTTGGCCATAGAGAACGGATGAATGAGAAGCGGTTAGCAAGTAGAATTTGCAAGTTCTTCTCTTCCTGCGCCCTTGATATGAGAACTGGCAGTAAATGTAAAATAAGAAGCATTTAATGTATATTTAGTTTTTGACGTACATAAGTGTACATTGTGTTACCTTAATGAATTAAAAAATTTTTGATTATGTTTATTTTTATTTTGAATATACAAAGCCACCGTGGATAGTGAAGTCGGGTTGGGTAGACCTCGTCGTATAACCTGGTCCAAATCAAGGAGGTACTAGAAAAGGGATTAGTTAAAAGTACCCATAACCGACGAGCATGCTTGGTGAATTTAATGAAAGTGGATGAAGTGAGAGAGGTATAGAGCAAGTGGAGATCCGTGGTCTCCGCCTACACCTTGGGAAAACGGAGTGATGCAATACATATATAGGTTTGCGTTATAACAGATAACAGAGAAACCACACCAAAATAGCAGGCATCAACATCAATGGCGCTACAACCATTTTAAGTCTGGGCCTCAGATTTCTGTATCTGTTTAATGATCAAATGTAATGGACAAGTAGGGGTTCAGCCTTCTGTGATCCGATGCCGTCGACTTTTTGGGTCTAAGGCAAGCCTCACGATGTTTTCCACCGTTCGAGCGAATGTTCAATGCGCACATATACAGAAAGTCAATTGAAGCACAGCCGGGTATCGAACCTACGGCCTCAGGGGTGAGAATTGTACGCTTAACGGTAGGCCAACACTGCCCAAAATAGCAGGCAGAAAGAAACAACGTCTGAATTTATGCAAGCTATCGTTAGTCTGGTTCTTAGTGTGATCATTTAGTTTTTATAGTTAGTTCCAGCAATTCACGGGACTTGGGACAGGGAGCGCTGGAAGTGGAAGGCACTTTTTGGTTCGCAGAGCCAGCGGAGTGAGTAACATTAGTTATAGTTCCGTCCAAATAAATTGACAGGAGGCGATAGATGCGCAGAAGTCTTTCTTTTGTTTTTGTCTACTAAAAGAAAGTTACTCCTACTAGATGAAATCTTGAAAAGTTACATGAATGACTTAGTCACTTGAGAAAAGAAGTACCTTTTTTTATTCGACTTCCAAAGGCTGTACTCATAGCTCAGAAAGAAAAACTCAGAAAACGCTGACGACGAAACACAAAAGTCGCCACAAAAGTCGATGAGAAAGGAAAGTCGGCGTTCTCCGTTGGAAAATCCACGGAGGTTCTTTCAGTAGAAGAAACGTAATTAATTACATCAAATATGTATTGGAAAATGGCAGACATCTAAATAGTAATGTTGTCATATATGCGCCTGCTATGAAATAGTCTACGACTGGTTGTAAATATTGTAAAATATAAAGTAATAATTTGAATTTAGGTTAGTACCGTACAGCCTTGCGATTCTGTAACTCACTTTTCGAACACTCCTATCTCCCTAATAAGGAGGGAGCTTGTAGTTTATTGTTTATCAGAATGCCAAATCGTAAAATGACTGCTTCACGACTGATTTGAGCGCGACCGCCCCTGCGAAAACCGCTGTGAGAGTTCGAAAAGTGAGTTACAGAATCGCAAGGTTGTACCGGAAGTTGTTTGGGCCTTCTGTAGCCGTAGACTTGACCGAGTTGATCATAAAAATATTTTTTAAACATAAATGAAGTATCAGCAGTGTTGACCTAGTGGCTTCAGTGTGCGACTCTCATACTTGAGGTCGTAGGTTCGATCCCCAGCTGTGCACCAATGGGCTTTCTTTCTATGTGCGCATTCAACAGACACACATCGTGAGACATCTGATCACCTACTTACCTATTAGATTTAAAAATGAAAAATGATCATGAAACAGATTCAGAAATGTGAGGCCAAGACCTAAAGAGCCACTGCGCTACAACGCCACTGATTTATTATTATTTATTTTTAAATGAAGTATCACCATGTTTTTTTTAAATTACGTAAAATATTCATCTTCTCCGGGCCGATTGGGCCACGGCGTCTAATCTCTTTTGAGACTGGCCACAATTGATAAATTATAGTGTACAGGGGCTTAAGCGTCAGTGGGTCATTCTTGTCGAAAGTGATTTGGTCTCCTCCGTTATAATATCTCCTGGGTGTCAAGCCCCAGATGTGTGCGCATGTTTATATATATGAGTCATTATGCTTATAGCGCAAAGTCTCGACTGTGAGTTTTACTTTAGTGGTCATCGAACTAGGAAAAACAATAAATTGCGTGAAGATGTTATATTAATAACAGTAAAAAGTTCATAAACCTTCAGATAAAAAAATAATCACAATAGGATGTAATATTTTTTCCGCTTACATGTGTAATCGCTCTTTTGAACCTGTTAATTACAAAAAATAATGTCGTTATTAAATAGCAAGAATGCAATTCAATAGTACCTACATAGTATACTAAACTCCGACTGCGTTCATAGAGTTGTTTACCAAACGCGGTTAAAAAAGGAATAGCGCTGAATTTAATGAGATTTCCCGTCCGTTCTACGCCCTTGATTTGAGAACTGGCAGTAAATGTGAATATAATTATTATTTTATTGACGTTCATAATCATACATATTATAATATTTATATAAACATAAATAAATATATAATATTTTGATTTATGTTTTTTGGGAATAATAAAAACAATATGTTTTTTCGGAGAGGTACAGAAAAGTGACGTTGATTTTTACGAAACACTGAAATTTGTCGAAACCATACCCATAACGTAATTACGGAACATTATTCTTCAAAAGATATTATACAAACCATAATAATCACTTATTTAAGACAAGTGGGCTTCAGTAAGGAGTTACGTTAATTATCAAAAACCTCCTTTTAATTTTAATAAAGCTGAGAAACAGGCCCAGACAAAAGTATCTTTTTCTGAGTAAGGTTAAGAGAGATCTAATTCCTAACTAATTAAAGAGAAACCTGTGACAACTGGACTATAGAACTTGGGTCTAGAGGCTAGACCTTATGGAAAACATAAAAGGCGCGAAGAAATTACTGCCAGCAATTAAATACTAATTAACGTGAAATTAATTTAAATGGCGCAGTATTTATATTGTTTTATAAAATATAAAAAAAAACAAATTTTAATTCAAATTGATTAACAATCTAATTAATTAGGATTTCCTCTAGTGTAAGAGAACCTTTTAGCAATTGAAGCTAATAGTAACTTAATAAAACTATATATTTATTTAATAATTAAAGTGTTCAAAACAGTTGTAGGAAATAAAGACTTTGAAATTTTATAACAACTACACACAAAAAAGTATTTAACGTAGCAAAAATAAGGCAATTGAAGTAATTACGTATATGTAAAAACCATGTAATAAATAATAATTAGCTTTAAATTTACACTTACTTTTGTGCTTTGAATGGTTCTTCCATATCCTTCGTAAAATAGTTGCCATATCGAATAAAATACCTTTGACAGCGGGCTACTTTTCCCGCGCGCGGTTCCCAGATGACTGATGATAAAGCTGTGTTAACTGCCACACAACCCTTACATTTAACTTTGTAGGTTGCACTATATTAAATTTATAAATATACTCAATGTGTTATCTATGGCAAATGCTTAATTAAATAATTATGCGTAATATTTAGATAGAAGTTTAAGCATGCGATTTTGGAAGACCCCGTGCACCAATGCCTTTTTCTTTCTCATGTACCATCAATTGTTTGTATAATATAGGACAACACCTTGAAGAAAGAAGCATATTTTAGATATAGAATATTTATGTTAAACACAATGATGATCACCTACTTGGTTCAAGAAAACCGCTTCTAAAATATTTCCAACCCATAATGTCATAAATAGTGCGTAAATTTATTCACTTATAAAATCGCGAATCGATTCAGGTATAAATTTAAAAGTTTTGTTAGCATTTGTGTAATAAAACGAAAAGGAAAATATTGCTAATATTTAGTAAAGGGCGCTAGTTTGTACATTTCCAATCGACAGCTAAGGAAGACCTTTCAAAGCAAAGCTTCTTTTAAAATTATCAAATATCTAATAAATATTTAAATGTTATAGTAGTCGAATAAAAAAACTAACATTCCACCGGGTAAGCCTTTCTGATGCAAGACGCTCTATTCGGCCATCATTTCTGATGCAACATGAGAGCTTTGCAAATCAAGTTAAACAACCCCACCTTACTTTTTGCTACAAAATAATTACGAATTAATGCCAACTGCCGTGTTCGGCAGCAATACGTGCACTTTAGATACGATCTTGATTTTTCTTTTTTTCCGAAAAAGGAGTTTAATAAAACTTTATTAGTATTACACAATGTATATCAGATTTTTTGAAACATATGATAAGTTCTGCATCGCAATGAAAAGCTGACTGATATTCCTGAATAAAATTTCCATAAGTTTTCCATAATCAAAAGATTATTTAATACCTTGGCATTATCAAGCTTATTATGGAAACGTGTAAATAATACTTCAAATTAGGATTTATATCCATTAAAAAGGTTTTATTTTTTATCTCGTCTTGGTGGGAATCGCTCATGGAGTGAGTATAGCGTTCTCTAGAATATTCCAAGTATACATCTGCTGTGTTATGTAGTGGAACACTAGTGTTTGCAGAACCATGGCCAGTTGTGTTCCGGGGTGATGTTTTTGTAGCTACTTATCGAAGTTGTTGGGTAGCCAGTTGCATTGAGTGACCAAAAGCTACAGGTGTGCTTGGATGGTCGCGAGATCTGGTAAGTCGGTTTACAGCTGGCCGACCACAGGTTGTAACTATAAAAATACAAATTCCCAGCCACTCACGGAAGGCTGCCCAGCCACTTGTATCGCACGTGTATTATCCTGGATTGGCTTCAATGTGCCGGGTGGGGAAGAAGAAGCGTCATTGACCATATCCGCGGGATTTCAGGCAGCCCTGCAGTCTCCAGAACAAATATCCATAAGCGCTTACAATACAAAGAGTGGTACCCTTTGCATTACCTCGTGGCGTCTTCACTTTATAGCAACCGCATAAAATCAACATGAAAAATACAAAAATAGAACTCAGTTTGCGAATTTGTGTTCTTGAAGATGTGTTTTTCTGTACTCTGGTACTAATTGATACGGTAATTGACAAAATTATCTATGGTTATACTAAAAGACCAGACTTTTTACTTATGCGGCTGCACTGCTTGTACTTTTTGTCGATTTTAATGCACAGCATTCGGAATGTTTATTTCCATATGAGAACAGATCACACGGGGCGAACGACCTTGCGACTTCTTATAACCTCGAGTGCCGAGTGCCGGATATTGAAAACCATACTGCCAATTGTCTTGACCTTCTTGTGACCTCAGATCTATTAGGTAAGTGGTTTCTGTTTCTGCCCCACTTTGAACATCGGAGGAGAGTGTGAAAACTGGGATAAGATCTCTTTGCGTCCTATCCATGACGTCAAGCATACCTTCTATGCTTCACTACCACTGACCCGTCAGGCTGCGCAGACAGTATCGCTGATGTGATTTGTCAAGGTGGGTGTGAGGGTGACTCAATAGTCACTCACTCACTCACTCACGTGCACCACACACTTACTCATTCACTAACATGCACCCACACACTCACTCATCCACTCAGACGTGTTGAAAACAGTTAAAAAAACAAAAATAATCTTAAAAAATATGTATAATGTATATATATATGTAAAAATATATATATATATAAATATTTTATTATGGAATTTACTATTAAGTTTGTTATAGATGAGCTGGAAACCCTGACACAGGTATATTTTTAGTTAAAAGGGTTCCAAAATCTTACTCAATATTATAATGAATTGTTGTCAAATGAATAAACAATTTTTTTTTAATTAATTAGGGAGCGTTCAAGTTAATACTTGATATTAATAATCTCCAAAAAAAATCGATTTTTTTTGAGATTATTGACCCCCCCCCCCCATGTAACTCGCCGTAAAGTTTTTCAGTACCCAAGTATGGTAAAACGTTTCGTGACTACCTAGTGACTCTTTAGTTACTATTATGTGGTGTAAGTCGAAAAAATATAAAAATAACGCGTAATTTAATGTCCGCCCCGCATCGTAACGTTTCACAAAAGGACCCCCCCAAAAAATACGTTACGTAATACTTGAACGCTCCCTTACAAGCTGGTGCCCGTGACTTCGTCTGCGCAGTATTAAAATACTTTTTGTCCAAATGATGTAGCGTAAAAAGACATATTTTATATACATAACTTTAATCCGGTAAAAAGTTTTTTCTTTAAATGTGTAAAGGTTATGTTAATCAAATACAATACCATATTTTACATACTTTAAATACCAGAAGCGATAGTATCTATTTTCATGTAGGAATCAATTTATTGCTACCAAATTTGCATAAGAAATAAATTATCAATTTTTATTGTAGTTATTTTTAGTTTAGGTTTACTATTTTGGCTATAATGGCTTACACATAAGATATAGATATATACTGTGGTGGGCTTTTATGTAGGACTTACATTACATCATACATTACATATGAGGAACCCTAGCGGTTTTGGCAACGAACGAGAATAGCTCGCAGATGGTAGATTTTTCCTACTTACTTGATATTTTGACTATTCACACAATATCTTTATAAATAGATTTTATCCTATGTGTTATTCTGATGTATAAGCTATATTATTGTACAGTTTAATTAAAATCCATTCAGTAGTTTTTACGTGAAAGAGTAACAAAAACATGCATCCATACTTACAAACATTCTTTCGGGACGAAACTTTTTTCCTTTCTTTAACGTTTCACTCGATTACAAAGCTCGTCCCTGGATCAATGGTCAGTGTATTGCGGCTGTAAAAACAAACAAGCCTAGGCGGATACTGAAGCTTGCAATGCCTCCGTCTTGCCAAAGAGTCTTTTTAATGAAGCTGCTAAGTCGTGGAAGAAAATCATCAGGCGAGCCCGAGTTCATCACGTGTATCCGCCCGACGTATCCTAAGGAAGTAAAGCCTTTTAGTCCCTTGCCAAAGCGATCAAATCGAACTTCTGTCGCCTAACACGAGATAGTACTGTTTGCTGATGACACTTCGCTTTTATTTAAAGGGAAACGACGAAATCCAATACTTGAGAATGTCAAGTTGAAAGAATCTCCAGTGTAGTTCAGTGGTTTGATACAAATAATCTTAAGCTAAACGAAAAGAAGAAATAATGTATTAAATTTGTAACTACAAATGTAAAAAGTAGTAATGCTCAAATAATAATTAAAGATGAGGAAATAGACTTTGTTGAAAAATCTTTGTTTTCTAATTTATTTTATTATTCCTATTTATTACTTAAGATGTCATGTGGAACATGGTGTAATGGTTGCAGCTCCTTACAAACGTTGTGTAAAACAAAAAACTTGGCGAATAAAAAGAGTGGCGGAGAGTTTGTTACCAGTTCTTCTCTTCCGTTCTACGCCCTTGATTTGAGAACTGGCAGTAGGTAAATGTAAAATAAGAAGCATATTTTTTTTTGAAGTTCATAAGTGTACATTATGTTACCTATATGAATAAGTGATTTTGACTTTGCCTTTATCATAGCCGCCCATTACTATGAACAACTCACTTGCACTCTCGACAAAAGATAAGCAGTCAGCCTTTTCTATTTGCTATGATGTCCTCCAATTCAAATATGAAACCAACTGAATTATTGCTACCCACATTTCAGCATTGTGGCTCATACATGTCAGAAGTAAATATCAGACAAACTGATGTTCCTAAACCTAACAAGAAAGGAAGAAGCCCAAGGAAGTGAGCAAAGCTAGTAGTAATGGAATAACGGCTTTTGTACGAAATATATATGCACCTGGATTTATTCCAATACTGACACATCTGTATCACCTATCCTCAAGATCTGGAATAGTGCCCAAGTACAGGAAGTTTCCTAACGTGCAGCCTGCGCCTAAAAAAGGTAGTTGTACCGACCCTACTAACTATCGACCAATTCCGGCTATCTTTGTTTTTCTCAAGATTATAGCGTTTATTAAATAGTCGCCTTCTTACCGAAGATAGGAGCTGTTGACTTTCTAATTTACAAATCTCCTGATGGTGGAGGACTTGAAATTCTATGGTAAAGCACTTGCCGTTTGTCTTGTCAATTCTAAGGCAAAGGCCTTAATAATTTTGGCACGCAAGCCGTTCAGGCAAGCTCCCATTATATGAAGGAGCCGTGACTTAAGGTAGTCGTGGATCTCTCCTCTACTGGTTGAATGGTTGTTTATGCCAGTACTACAAGGATCTGTTCTTTCTACGACTCTATTCTGATACATATCAACGACATGCTAAAATTAATCTAGATAGATCAAATCAAGATAAACTAAAAGGGAGGCTACGGTTGAACATTAAATATCGTTTCGGATTGGGGCGATGCGTTCCTAGTCCAATTTAACACAAATAAAACCCAGGTTTATCTAATGAGTTGTAAAAAAAGTGTTTTTCTATTGAGTGCCACCTTCCGGGGTGTCTTTGGAAATAGCAAACTTTGCTTGGCGTTAGGTACTCTGTCGGCCGATCTGAAATTTGGGCGTTTCATTTAAAGAAGTCCGAGAGTTCTCCACATCGGAACAGCTTCTTAAACTTCATCAAACTCAAGACCGTTCGTGTGTGGTTCGCTCTGGAGTATGCTCCTTGGAACGGAACAACCTGATTCCGTTATCCCCTTTCAAACTACGCTCGCCTAGAAGCACGCTGAAGTTTCACCCATTCGTTGTTGACATCCTCAAGTGCCGCACTACACGATTTCAATCGTCGTTTCTTGTTAAAACAACGAAGGAGCTGATAAGGAACTCCTTGCCCCTTCAATCTTTCTCAAAGAGTAAAACATAGGTTAATTTTTTTAATTAGTAAAACATAGGTTAATTTTTTTAATTAGTAAAAAATAGGGATACATAATAAAAATACAATTTTAATTTCATTTATGTAATCATAAAATAATGCAACAAAAACAAAATAAAACAATATTGATGTTAAGGGCGTTACAATACACAAAAATTGGGTCTTATTAAAATACGGATATGAAGTAAAAATCTAATTATGAGCTGTCAAATCATATTTTAAAATTCATATTGACATAATGACTGACATGACAGGTCTTAAAACTAGATTTAATAATCCCATTTTGAAAACCAGCATTATATAAAAACTACATAATTATAACTAAACTATAGAACATATAGTGGAATAAGATTTAATAATAAATTAAATATATTATTTATTTTTGTACCAAGCATTGCAACTTGATGTCTTTGAAATAATTTGTCTACTACAAATGTCAAAATATTATTTTTTGCAGTTTATATCTAAATTAATTAGAAATAATCCAATTCATACAAAAATTTAAATGAACATTACTTTTATAAGAATGTTACAAAGTAAAACTTCGGCAGCCAGGTACACTTAAACTTACAACATTCACAAGTCATATAATTTCATGTATGCAGTGAAATACATTGAATTAATTGTTTACAAACTAATTATTATACAAACAATACTTATTCAAATATATGCACACTTAAAATTGAATATCAAAAATGTTAATACATATATGTCCCGAAAATCATATATTTGTAAACAAGTATTGATGTGTTTCATTTGCATATGTGATAAAATTACTAAATAACTTTGTAAAACCTCAGATACATTATAATAGGGTAATTATTCCACTGATGTTTTATATATGATATAAAAATGTCTTCATTGGAACAATATTTATAATATTAAATAGTCATTGTGATGGTCACATTTCTTAAATAGTTGTCCCAAATGTACTTATTAAATTTATCAAATAAATTAATTTGATTCAAAATCAGATATGACAATACATTTACAAATTTCATCTCATTATTTACAAAACTTATATATATAGGCATAGATTAACTAATCATTTTTACACGCTGTTAGAATCTCGTGCACCCTACACATTATAAAATTATTGTCAAAAGAAAGCCGACTATAGTAAAGGTGCCAGAGATTGTAACTGTAGTTTTACTTAAACTCAGTCAAATCTTTAATAAGTATTTACTATACTCAATAAACATTTGATGATGTTGATATACAAGCCTTTATTTTAAAAGTAAATTGATGTCATTAGCACTTTTAAATAGTAAATTTTAATAATATAATTCAAATCAAGACAAGTTTAAATAAATTATTTTTAAATTACTAAAAAGTAACATACTGTTAAGGTAAGTCAAATCTGGAATGCAAAAGAATATTATGTAATTTCCTTTCACATACATAATAATTTCTTAGAATATGTTTTGTCTGTCATTGCATTATTACACTTCATGATCACATAAGTAACTTAAATTTAATATCTTACTAAATAATTAATATTAATATATTAAAGTAAAGTAATTAAATTTCATTTTATACACTAACAGTCTTTTCAGCAGCTTCTTCCTCTAAGATTTTAGCTTCTGTCTTTAGTGACGGTTTTATTGTACATCATTTCTTTTTTCTATCCTGGGTACATTTAGGACAATACCATTTACCTTTAGGTTTAATTTTAAGGTCAACACATGCAAAATGGAACCATTCAATAGGGCAATCTGGGTTATCACAACCAATCATTTCACCATAGGACACTTGATGACACAAACAATATGTGGGTTCATTTGGATCAACAGGCATGTCTAATACATCACTAGGATGGGTCATGCCAGCCACAGAATCTAAGTCACCACTTTCTTCTTGTTCTTTAGTTGGGTTAGCTGAACCTCCTGAACCCTTTTTTGAGGCCTTCTTCTTAGCTGCCGACCTACCACTCGCGACGGCGTCGTCTTCGCTCGACGCACCTTGTCGTTTTTTCTTTCCCGTCGATGAAACAGTCTTGTCACTACTTTTATTCTTCTTTCTGCCCTTCTTAACAGTTGTTGGAGTAACTTCCTGTTCACTAGCAGCTTGTTGCGCTGCCCGAGAACTCATGACTTTCTCTTGAATTTCGGACTCGAAACGTGCGAGGTCAGAGTCAAGGCGCCGTATGTGTTTGTCCACTAACTCGTATGTTTGAATAGCGAGCTGAACCTTATCGTCACCGTATTCCTTAGCTTTATTAAATAGCCCTTGTATTGTATTTTCCTTTTCTTTTTGCGTTTCTTCGTCCATTTTAGGAATATTCGGCAGTAATTCATCAGCCATAAGATCAATTGTCCTCATTAAACCATGAGCTCTATCGTCTAAATCCCGCATCAACTTGAAATTTCTTTGTAATTCTATGGGCAAGTGCTGGAGACTATCAAGATAATGCTCCAAATAAAGTGCTGAAGTCATTATTAAAATAACGAAGTCTTTTCCCTCTTAATAAAATTATAAATGGTAATAACAATGTTAAGATTGAGATTTTATAGGAGGATTTGAAGGGAACCCTAGGTCAAAATAATTTATCACTATTCACTCTCACTGATTTTAATTTAATAATTGTTGAAAAGTTGCAATTAAAATTAAAATCATGATTAAATTTCATGTCGCCTCAGTTTGGAAATTAGGAATAGACTACAGAACAAAAACATAGAAAAATACCATAATCACAGTGACATCATTTCCTAAAAATGTCTATGGTTTTTATGATATTTTATTCTGTACATTATTATTGTTTGTTGGTTTTGCCTGAAACGTAGATAGAGTATAGAACTAGATGAGCTTCTAAAATGACAATAATAACTAAAGAGAGAAGGCATTAACGTGAAATACTTAAGTGCGAGCGAAACAAAGTATCAGTTTTTCTGTCTCTATTTGCGTATCGGGTGTTATTTGTTTACCACCGAGCCCTTGGTGGTTGTTTGGTTTAAACAAGTTTTCACCGCTTACTGATAAATCTGTGAAACCCAAGTCAAACCCATATTTTAAGACTTTATCCTTATAAGAGGTGTATTTAAAGTGTCAGTCATGGTGAATTGTTGCATAATTGGCTGTAAAGCTATAGTGAACGTAAAGAACCAAACATAATCTTTCATCGGTAAGTAGCTCCTTACAAACGTTGTAAAAAAAACAAAAAAACATGGCGATTAAAAAGAGTGGCGGAGAGTTTATTGCCAGTTCTTCTCTTCCGTTCTACGCCGTTGATTTGAGAACTGGCAGTAAATGTAAAATTAGAAGCATTAATATTTATTTCTTTAATGACGAATCACAAGTGTACATTGTGTTACCTACGTGAATAAATGATTTTTGAATTTGAATTTGAATATTTTGTCACGACTCAGTAACTTTGTTCAAGAATTATTCATTCGAATGTGTATTTTGGTCAATAATTAGCAATCTTCAATGAAAAAATAAAAAAAACTATAAATAATGAAACTGTAAATACGACATATGTCAATCATTCGCTATCTCACACGTTGTACGCTGATGCCTGGTCTATACCATAGTCCGTCTACGCTGAAAACGCTTACAAAATCTAGTCTAATGTCTAAACTATAATGTATTAAGCCTTATGGCGCTTCTAAACGGGCCATGTTTTGCTGCAATAGATGGCTGCACTGTTGGCAACTAATTGCCCGGCCATAACAAAAATATTTTAATGCAGCTGATGGCCGAACAATCTATGGCTGGGCAATGTGTTGTAATATGTCTGCAATAGTATGGCCCATGATGCAGACTCCTAAACGGGCTACACAAACCGGCAACAATGGCTGACGAAATCACCCTTGTCGCAGCAGCTTATATTGTTTTAAAAAAGAAAAAGAAGAGATTGTGGATTCGACCTTACTTAAATAGGCGTGAAACTGTAGACAATTTGAGTCTAGAAATAAGCCTTGATAATTAATTATTCAAAAACTTTACTAGAATGTCAAAAGCAGTCATTTTTCGTAGTAACGTCAGAATATAGCAACAGGCACACTTCACTCATAGCAAACTTCATGTCGCGTAGAAAAGGATACACTGTGCCATAACAAAGAGAGTGACGGAAACAACAATAGAACTGGCTGTGCAATAATTGCAGTTGAATTCGATAGCCTAGCGATCGTCCGGCAACCGATCTGGGCAACATCGACCTTATGTGGCTATACAAAACATGTTTGGCTATATCGCCGGGACATTACTGCAATATTGCATATTGTGGCTGCTATTGTTTGCAATTTTGCCGGGCCACAGTGCTGCAGCCATCAATTGCAGCAAAACATGGCCCGTTTAGAAGCGCCATTAGACAATTAACATAGGGTATTCTTACTCATAAAAAATAAACGTGAAATCGAATCTACGTAAAAACGGGTATATTTTAGAGTCGAGACCTTGCGCTATGCATGACAAAAACGTATTACGGTATTAGATTTAACATAGAATCTCTGACTCTAAGGATACTTACTATCGAAGAGTCAAGACAAAGCTTAAAGTATATAAAAAGGTGTTGAATTTTGACACACATCTTAAATTTATAAGTTATATATGTACACATATTTTATTGATTTTTTTTTGTTTTTTAAATCGCACGACTTTATGATGGTATAGTTTTGACCAGAGTGCTTTAAAAACTTACTTTTTATCAAGTTTTGTTTCTTTGATAATAATTCAGACTGATACTTATCCAAAGCGTAATTGCATAGTGATGAATTTGTTCTTTAAAGCCCTGTGAAAAAATAACTAAGTAACTTCTACTCCTTGGCGAAAAAGCGTCATAGGAATGGGGGGTCAAATAATAAGCGAATATAGAAAACGACTACTAACAGCAATTATGTTGGTTTCTACAATTAACGAATCTCGATATAGGTGTCGAATGTCTATGGAACTAGTCACGTGACAAAGCGTTAGCTTATTATTTGTATACAACACCCTATACTTAATGTACTCTATGTTATACAAATTTCGTTAGGAGTTAGTGGGTCATGCCTGTTGCAAAGTGCCTTTGTCTAAAGAATTTGAATCTTCAAGATATTACACATTGCTTATTAAGCGCACTGCGCTCTCTCCAGCGTCTTATTTTCTCATCATAACTAACCCAGAATTCTAATAGTAAGATTCAGAAACGAGTTATAGTGCCAAGTCCCGTATGTCAAAAACGTATTGAATTTTGTCATATCGATACACGATGGTAATGCCGTCGCACTAAAAATGTAATTGTTATCGGGGAGAAACTAAACTGACAACGACACATATAGCCGTTCTGTCAAAATTGGCTCCGCTGCAGTGATGCCAACTTGGGGGTTTTCTCCTTAAATTTACGGGTAATCAAAATGTCCAGGTGGTTTTTTACTTTACAATTTGTATTTCTATTAGCCTTTCCAACCAACCAACGAAAACCAAATATAAATTCCAAACATGGCTATAACTGAAATATAATAAAGCATTAACACTCCAAGATCGAAATAACAGCTATTATATTATACTACTTGTATGTATTCTTGTATAATTCATAATTGAAATTACTTCTCAAACCGAGTGTATTAAAAGCGGCACGTAAGTCTAGCGCTGGCCGATACGTGGAGGGAATTGCTGCGCATGAGTACTGTCGCGCACGCAATACATTATATGCCTCAAATATATATGGCTCGAATTTACAATGTTGTTAGTCCGAATGACTGAACAAAGTATTTGTAGCTTCGTCAATCTCACTTTGGATTTGTTTCAAAGAATCAATTAATTCGTTATATTCCCTTTTTAAAAAACAATTCGCGTCATAAACCATTTTCCTGGCTTGTCTTTTCAAAACAGTATTTGTTCTAGGCATATTCACTTTAAAGTCACAAACAAACTTAAAAACAAATAACAAACAACAAAACACTAACAAATTCAAACGTAACAAAAAACAACAAAACGTAACAACAGTAACAATAATATTAATGACGCGACTGTACACGGGATGTGCGCGGGGCGTCGTATCGGTGCGGGGGACGCTACGCGCGCCCGCTCTTCATTCCGCTAGCCCCTCTCAGGTACCTTATTTTTTACTTCTGCGCAATAACGGTCAGCGCTAGAGTTTCGTGCCGCTACTTGTACAACGAAAACATTAGGGGAATTTGAAGTCGGCCGTATACTTCTGCAGTTAGTCAAAAACTAAATAAAAATTTAAGTCCTGTCGTATTTTTTTAATAATTTGAAAATCAAAGATTATAATGTCATTAGATAAGCAAGTTTACAACACTAATGACTAAACTAAATTTAGTCGAATTTGTGTACATAAGTATAAATTTTTCTATAAAAATAAAATATCCTGTAACATTCAATATACTGCAATCACTATGGTAACAAGATTGGTTGGCTAGATCGTTAAGTGATATGATTAAAACATTGTGTATTTTTAATGATTTTATTATATTATTAGCAAATAAACAAGATATAAAATATTCTCTTAATAGAAATGACGCTAATCCGGAATACAAAGCACTTCTTTAGGTTTTACATATTGTTTTGTACATTTTAAAAATACGAATGCTCACACAAAGTACCACATACAATTTGTATTCAAATATTTAAAATTAGGTAATTTCAAAAGCTTGGTTAAATTACATAGCATTATTTTTAAAACGACAAAACAATGGCGCAAATAACGAAACGTATAATTTCAGTGTTTACAACGACATTGCCATTGAATTAATATAAACATTAAAAATTAAAAACATTAAGATAAAAATTGCAAATAAATAATTAGCGTACGCCAACACATGGCAATTAGATGCGTTTACATAATCTACATGATATAAAACATGCTTTAACTTATCTATACTTTACATTTCTTAACTATTCGTGATCATACAGTGTATACTACAAAACGTCATACAATGGTGTATTGCTTAACGCAGTATCAGATAGCGTTACCTAACGATTATACAATTATTTGGGAATATTTGGACAGCTATATAACATACGGATATAAAAAATTTCGAGAGGTTACATTCTAAATAGATTACAAAATGCCACAACTCTGCCGGGGCGCCTTAAAATTTGATGATCTTCACTTATTTTAAACGTTATAGGTAGAATTTGTTGCATATACATAAAAGGTACTTAGATGAACTTAAGGCTAACTACATACAAGTCTACACATAAATTTGGTACACATTCGTTGCTCCTGTTACCGTTTATAACAAACCAAGAGTTGCAAGAACAAACCAAAATATGGAATGCATAAATAATTAAATATAGTCTTTAATAATCCCTCTAAATGGACCGATTTCTATTTGATAATGGAAGTATTGGATACTTTGTGATAATTGGCACTAAACATGCATTTACTTAGATTATTGTGATTTAAAACTAAAATGTTGTTGTAATAATGAAATTGGCTGAATTCTGAAATAACGTTGTCGTCTGCCCTCAACCCGACCGGATGTTTCAGTTTTCAGTCTACTAATGTCAATTATATAGTCTAATTTAAAGACTAGCAATGCCTCAAATATATCATCCCAACAATTCACGCCATAAATTAATATAAAAATCTGAAACATATTTTCACAACCGCTAATAAAATAATTTTTAAAAATATTTTAACAAGCGAAGCACCATTCATACTGATTGTGCTTAGGTGGGAGGATAATGAACAATGGCTAAAAATGGAAGTTCATAGATTGTCTATGATATAGACTATGTGTTATCAGTCACCAATACAATGTGTATCGGAAGCATGTTCTATAGTTCAAATTGTTTAAAAAATTAGGAATTATTTATAGAATGATTGTAGTTAATTATTAGCACTTTTTACTTTTAAAAAAAAGCACAAACCTATACAAGGCTATCCAATTATAATTTACAAGCTTAATAGCCGTTTATTTACCCAGTTTAAAAATCTTGAATGGTATTTTTACTAGTAAACATTTGTATTTTTTTGTTGAAAGATGATGTAAAACATAAAATTCCAAATATATTATTAACTGCTACTAAATTCTGGTTGGCAAGGCATATGCACAATATGCACATGTTACAAAATACGATGACCTAAAAATTACAATGATCTACTCTACATGCCTGAGGCGATGACATAATTGGCCGACATAATACTTTACTTAATTCACCATTCACTCTGATTTACTTCAATCTCTGCCGAATCTCGACTATCACAAATTACACCAGTGTCTCATACTTGTCCAAGACTTGGCTTTGATCATCTCCATGACTTTTAGACCGTTGCCGACTTGCATCGGAACCCGCGCTTTTCGACCTAGCTTTCTTATCATGGCCACAAGTGCACGCCACAGAGGTCTGCCGTTTTAACGTCTGCGACCTATTCCCAGCCCATTGTGGGTCCAAAGACTCGCTTCTTCCGTACGTCTGACGCTTGTTCCGTCCCATTGTTGCGTGCGGGAACGACTGGCCGCCATCAGAGGAGGGGCGCACAGACTCACTTCGGTTGCAGAAGTTACCGCCTGCCCGACGGAAAGAGTCTAACACCCGCTCCTCAATTTCCTCTATATCTTTCTTCTTCACGAGCCAAATCTCTTCCGAGCCCCTCGTGAAGTAGCTGGAGCCCTTGCTTACGGAGTACTTTTCTTTATTCTTCACTTTGCACGTCTTGAATTGGTCTTCTGTGGGTTTGTTTCGGGAGGTGTCAGGTGAGGCGACGTTTCGGAATGCTGTGCCATGCGAGGGAAACTGTTCTGGAATCTTACCAACAATACTTGGAGAACGTATCGTTAAATCTATCGGGGATGGCATAGGTTTAAACTCCGGTTTGATGATTTTCGGTTCCGGTTTTTGAATTTTCTCTTCAAGGGAGTTGCTGCCGCGTTGCCATTTATTACTCATTGTTGAACATTTGATGCTCAGCTGTCTTTCGAGTTTTGCAGGCGGTGGTTCGTTGGCAGGAGGGTTTTTTTCTGTATTCCCAATTTCAAAGAAGATATTGTCTTTGAATGGAGTGGCCGGTGGGGGTAGATCTTCTTTACTGTCCGACCCTATTCTATCAACTCTTGCTCGACGCATGGAGCCTGGTCGAGATAGTTTTCCAGCTTCCTCTGCAGCCTTTTCAAAAATTTTAATCTTATTACCCACGCCATTCGTGTCCTCGTTTTTCGTCTTTTCAATATCTATATTACTTAAATCATTTTCGTTTGTATCATTTGTATTTGGAAGTGACAATTTATCTGTTTTTGGAATATCCTTCGCAGTAACAGAGTCTCTTTTCACTTTAGGAGGCATGATACATTCTTCCTTAGGCGTGTCATTTTTAGGCTTTAGAATAGTGCTTGGAGGTGAACTGGAGCTACTTACGGGTGAAGGGGAGTGTATTTCCTTTCTAAAAGGAGAGACTTTGCTCCATGGGGGCGAAGCGACACTATTTTTAACGGGAGGGGACAGTACATCCTTATTAATAGGAGAATTGGTGGGAGGTGAATAATTTTTGGCAATTTCTTTCACAGTTGGGGAACTTTCTCTGGCTTTTACGGGAGGTGAAGGTAGCGGTTCCTGAGGAGGAGAATCATCGTTGATTTTCTTGAGGCTGCTCTTCCTTACAGGGACGGCGACTTCATTTCTGGGGGAGTCTTTGACTTTGTCGATCTTGAAAGAGTTTCGGCTTTCGGACTTCACTTCAATTTTCTGTGTTTCAAAGACAATTGCATCATCAGGTTTCACTTGAATCTTTTGTGTTTCGTAGACCTTATCTTCTGGTTTGACTTGTATTTTCTGTGTTTCATATACTTTATCATCGGGCTTTGTTATTTTCTGTGTTTCGTAGATTTTCTCTTGGTCCGGCTTGTAATTCGCGTCATTCCGCGGGGTGGCGCAACGTCACGCGCGACAGTCGGCCCACTCGTCGTCGTCTAGGTCGGAATCGTCTTCTTCATCGGAATCGCTCTGTTCGACGGCGACTCGACGAGCCAGAATAGACGCCACGTCGTGTAAAGCGGGTGCGCCCCGAAGTGTATCGTATTTGCCCACGTTCTCCTCGCAACGCTTGTCAACCTTGCGGAGTTTTATACCTGCGAATTGTCATGGTTTAATAATAAAATAATGGGAAGTTTGCAGTCATGAATTTTATACTTAAATATTTGAGTTTAATGAGTTCAGGCAAAATTTGATTGATATACAGTTAGTTGATTTGCTGATATGTTTGTCACTTACATTATACGCATTAAGAAAATAATTTGAAACAAAATCTCACCTTCCCGTATCGCTTTGAGAAGATCGGAGCGTGGATCGGGCGCAGGATGGTTGTCCAGCGTGGGAGGCTTCAGGGCGGAGGCTCCTCGCAGCAGAGTGGCTGGTGACGGAGGGCGTGGCCGGTCTTCAGGCGGCGGCGGGGCGGGTGGAGCCAGTGGAGCTGGTGGAGGGGTAGGCGCTGCTATCGGACTCTCTTCGGATGACATCATGCCTGGATAGAAGATTTATATTTTATATTTGAATTACAAACGTCAAAAGATTCTATAATACTTTATTAACAGATTATCGAAACTAAAATAGGGGCAAAGGACAAGGGTGAAGAACAAAACGAGTGTCTTTATGCCTAGCTATAGACGTTTTTATACTTTCACTTCGGAAATTCCTTGGTGACAAATCTTTGAATATTATAATATTTACTTTTAGCAATGACACTTGATAATTATAAAGATGATAATTTAACATCGAGTCGATTCCATTCTATTTCCTATTTTTTCACCACAGGGGCCGTTCTACGTAAGCTTATATGGTTATACTTGAACAGCCCCACATTAGTATATAGGAAATTTTCTTACCAATGACCGCGTGCATATGGTCAAGATGCGCGTCAAGGGCCGTGCGATGAGGTGGTGAGGTGCCGTTGACCGGCGGAGGAGAAACGCTCTCAGGTGGTGGTGGGGGTGGCGGCAGACTCGATCTGAAAAATGATCAATACACTTAGCCCGACTTACATACGACTATATATAGACAATATATACTTAAAATTTGTACATCTATTTCATTTTTATATAAAAAGTGCATAAAGAATATTAATGTATATAAAGAAGTTTTCTACTAATGGTATAAAAAAGATTATATGTTTGTAAAAATATGGCTTAACTATGTTATAAAAATCATTATAGGCAAGTAGTAATCAGCCCTAGTTTGATCACGTCGATTTTTAAGTAGAAGCCAGTTTCCTCAATATATTTATCGAAGGAGAGTAGCATATAGTAAGAACTTTAAAGACTGGAAAGACCTAACTATATAACAAGAATCAAGAGATAACAAGAGGGAAGGAATACATAGAAAGTTCTGGAAACGTTGGAGGAGGGCTTTACACATTTAGGGTTTCGATTAATGGTACTGATTGAAGTTACGTAAGATGAAGAAAATATAAATATAATAGAAGACCGGGCAAATGTTGGGGGGGGGTTTTTTTTTTTTTTTTTTTAAAAGGGGAAAATTTTTCCGGGGGGGGGGGGGGAAAAACCCCCGGGGGGGGACCCCCCCCCGGGGGGGGGGGGGGTTTTTTATTTTTTTTTTTTTTTTTTGGGGGGGGGGGTATTAGCCCCCCCCCCCCCCGGGGGGGGTTTTTTATAAAAAAAAAAAAAATTTTTTTTAAAAAAAAAATAAGGGGGGGTTTTGGGGGGGTGTTTTTTTTTTTCTTTTTTTTTTTTTTTTCCCCCCCCCCGGGGGGTGATTTTTTTTTTTTTTTTTTTTGTTTGTTTTTTTTTTCCCCCCCCCCCCCCCCCCCCCCATTTTTTTTTTTGAGAGAAATAATAAATATAAACTGTATATTGTTAACAACTGTAAAAAATGGGAAAAAAACGGCGCATAATTTTTTTTATTCTTATGCGAGAGATTAATAACATAAAAATATATTCATTTGTACAATCGGTTAATAATCGCAGCATATAAATATTTATTTTAACATAAAACTATCTATTTACACTTAATTTATTTTCATGTGTTTTAAAATTTTAATTCATTTGAAAATGGCTTGCTAAAGTAAAAATGTTTTTGACTTGAATCTTTATGGGAAAAAGAAAAAAATAGACTTGGGCGACAGCTGTCAATTGAGGCATACCTAGTGGGTGTATTAACTTCGTTATGGGTAGGCGCAGGTGGTGCCGGTGGTGGTATGGAAGGCCGCGCTCGTCGTGGCGTACCAGCAATACTTCCTCCGTAGATTGACTCCACTGGGCCATATGGACTCTCATCGTTCACCACTGTAAAAAATATATAAAACTGAATAAAACAAGAATAAAAGCAATATTTTATAGAGAAATAATTATAAAAAAAAACTGAAAGATAGCTATAGAACTTAGACCAGTATACACCTAAACTCTGATTTTCATTCTGTAGAATTGTGACATTTCATAAGTGCTGCTACTAAAAAAGTTCTCCACCGAAAAAGGGACAAATTTGACCCATTTGAGGGCAATAAAAAATAAAATGCTACGTATGAAAAAAAAAGGTAACGTTACAATGCGGGGCGGGGATTGAATTACGCGTTGTTGTTAATATTATTTTCGACTTTCCAGTACTTAACGTTACAATGGGTGGGGGTTTTAAAACAATATCCAAGAACTGCGTGTACCACATAATGGTAACTTGAGTCACTAGGTGCTCAAAACATTACTATTGCTACGCGGGCCCCCCCTCGGGAAATTTCTGCGACCTCTAGCGGCTACCAAGATACAAAACTTATAAATTAATGTGAATACATTTCATACCATGTCCATTTCCAGTAAGACGCGGAGGCCTATTCTGCTGGTTTTCTATTTCAATGGAATTAGGCCGAGCTGGTTGTACACTTGGGGCACGAGTCTGCGGCGTGCGATAACCACCGTCCGTCACTGTTGTAGCTGAAATATGAATACCGTATCGTTAAACACAACAGAACTTTACTAGATTGTGATTGGTCAATAATGTCCATAACTCCCAATATTATTACCACTTAATAATTGGCAAATTTACCAATTTAATAAAATATTAATTTAATCCAGCCTATTGTTATGATTTTGATTTTCAACAATATTCTTGTACTCATTATGATTTCTTAAAACCTTCACATTTCCTATGCATAAATTTGAAACCAGTTTTGCTGTATCAAAGGCTACTCTACTTCACGATCTCTGGTCTTCAGATCTTCCATCCATGGTTAACTCACCTTGGTACAAAGCCTCGGGCCGATACTGCGGTTCAATATTGTACCGTCGCAGTTGCGTAGGCGCCATTATGTGTTCACCGCGATTAACGACTTCCGCCTTTTGCCTGTCGCGAGTCGAATGCGGGACTCTCACCCGCCGAGTGCCACGCCCTTCTGTGTTGTTGGCACGGGGCTGACGCACCTGAAAAAATATTAATTATATGACAAAAAGTACAAAATACTAATTTAAAATCCTGTAAACATTCCTTTTAAAGCATTAATGTGTACATTATTGTTTCGCTTGAAATCTCTAATAAAATCTACCTTATAATAAAAGTGAAAGATTTAAATACTTGCTTAGGTGTATAATAATAATAATAATTAAGCCTCATTTATTCCTTGAAAAATTTACATAATAATATTTACAAAAAGTTACAAAATATACACACACACACATAAAATACATACATATATATATATATATATATATACATTTTGTTTTTCCAAGGACCTCTTATTGAGTATAGGCCTCCTCCAGTTGACTCCATCTCTCTCTGTTTTGAGCATTTTTCTCCCAATCCTCTCCACCAACTTTCTTAAGCTCGTCGGCCCACCGTGCAAGAGGGCGACCACGCTTTCTTTTTCCTGGTGGCCCTTTCCACTTTGTTACCCTTTTTGTCCATCTGCCATTATTCATTCGAGCGGTATGGCCCGCCCATTTCCACTTAAGTTTTTTGCAATAGGACAGTGCATCAATAACCTTTGTTATGTTTCTTATTTGTGTACTTCTGATCTTGTCCTTCAGTTTTAAATTGAGTATACTGCGTTCCATTCCTCGTTGACAAGTTGTTATTTTTCTATTTGTGTTCGAGTCATATATCCATGATTGGCAACCGTAAGAGAGACATGGCAATATACACGCGTCTAAGACTTTCTTTTTTAAGTATATTGGTATCTCTGCCTTCAGTAGTTCTTTGTATCCCCAGAATTTGTTCCATGACATCCTAGTTCTCCTATCAACTTCGTCATGATGCCGTGAATTTTTAAAAGATATTTCCTTACCCAAATATATGTATTGTTGCACGTATTCTAAGGGGTATCCATTAATTTGGACAGGATCTTGTACGTGATTTGTCATTATTTTTGTTTTGTTTTTGTTTAATTCCAATCCTATTGCTCGGCTAATAGAACAGAGTTCGTTTATCATTTCCTCTAATTGTAGTGATGTTTCTGAGAATAAAACGATGTCATCAGCGAATCTTAAGTTGTTTAAGTACTTACCATCAATAATTATACCTTTATGTGTCCAATTAAGCTTTTGCATTATGCTTTGAAGTACTGTTATAAATATGGCAGGAGAAAGTGGGTCACCTTGTCTAACCCCTCTTTTAATGGGTATTTTGGGTCCCCTTTTTTCTAGTTTGATTCGGCTTACACTTTTTGAGTATATATCCTTAACTAGTTCAATCACTCCTGATGGTACCTTACATTCGTGGAGGGCATTCCACATACTGTTGTGAGAGATGGAATCGAAAGCTTTTGCGTAATCTATAAATGCCAGATATAGTGGTCTCTTTTTTTCTTTATACTTCTCAATAATTTGATCCACAACATAAATATGATCAATTGTTGAAAATCCTCGTCTGAAACCAGCTTGTTCTGTGGGCTGAAAATCCTGTATATGCGTGGAGATTTTGCTCTCTATGCATGAAGCAAATAATTTGCAGAGATTTGGTTGTAAGCTTATCGGTCTATAGTTACCAATGTCTGTAGGATCACCTTTTTTATATAAAAGGATTATATCTGACTCTGCCCATGCATTAGGTATAGCTTTTACCTCAAGTATTTTATTAAAGAGTGTTGTTATAATTGGCGTTAATAACAATTTACCTTGGATTATGGCTTCGTTAGGTATTCCATCTAGACCACAAGACTTATCTGTTTTTAGCTTAGGTGTATAATGTATGAAAATAATTGGCTGCAATGCATGTATGTGTTCTTATATGTAAAAAACCCAGTAAATTTTAAAAAACCTAGATACATACATATTTGTCATCATATAATCTTTATTGAAGTTGTACTTCTTTAGGCGCGTTATGAAAAATTGATGAGAGTGAAATTTTACGATGCGCGCGCACCTATGACACAAAATTGGCAGTGTGATATAGCGTGCGCGAGCGAGATGGGAATATAACAATCTACAAGTAAAAAGAAATAGAATATGCGTGAAGCTAACTTCACGCATATTCTTAGCTTAGCAGCTTAACAAGAATTTTGAATGACCATGACATCTGACAATGACATTTACCTTTTAAACAAATATAGGAGTTTTAATTATTGTTTAAAATAAATAATTATATACCTAGTTATTTTCATTATACGAATTGATTATCTAAATCAATACTAATTAATATGATAAAATATTTGTGAAAAAACTGTGCCAACCTTCCTGAGTGCTTCAATACAATTGAGGTTAACTATCCGTATGTATTATCGAGTATTATTGTTGATTAAAACTGAAACATGAACCATTATTCATTGCTTTTGTTTATTGCGTTTGTTACAGCAACTTTTTAGAAATATTCTACGACCCTATATATCAATAATTGAGAACAAAGATTTAAGCACGAATACTAATAAGGAGAAAATGAAGGCTTGGAGCGATATAACAGAGAAGTAAACATTTTAATAAGTACCTGCATCTCAAAAAAATGACCACATTATTTAATCAAAACATGTAATTTTTCAGATTTAATCTAGCAAATATATGGACAAGAGACAAAAAACAATTGATGAATCAGTGGAAGTGCACTAAATTGAATCAGCTTATCGCCGTGAAACATGAAAAACTGGAGGTGGAACAAAGCCACCATCACCTTCTCGAGACACAATGGATATGGCAGAGATGATACCGCAACGGTTTGAAGTAGATTTCAATGAATTTGATTGTGATGGTGTCGAGGTAGGAATGTTAATTATAAATATGATGTATGGTGATGTTCAAGGTTCAACCTTTCAAGCATAGGTATATGCTCACAACAGTACTTTATTCCCCTACAGGGTAGTTAGAGATATTGTAATACCTCAAAACATCCATGTTGCACTTGTAGTACCGAAACTCTGTCCAGCCAGAAGTGAGCCCATTCCCACTTATAATGGACAGTGGGTATAATACACCTTAATACCTGAGTGCGAACCACTCACCATGATACTTAAATTAATAGATGTTATTTATATATTTCAGGATATTACAAATTAAATCATTTTGGAAACAATTGATATCCCAAAAGCAAATAAAGCCAACAATGACAAGGTAATAAATCAGTTTTGACATAACTTTAATACTAAAAAAGCCAAACAAAGGTGTGCACAACAGTGACAACATAACTTAACAATTTCATTATTTTGTAGGATTAAAGAAAGGTTAAAGAAAATCATGTCGAACTGAACAACAAGAATCCCCAAACAACTCCAAAGAAACCTACAAGGAAGACACCGATATTATATTTAAATTATCTCTATCTCTAAATAGAATAAAAGAAAGTTGCTATTCAGGTCTGTAGCATGTGCTACAAATTATATTATTAACACATTTATATAACTATAATAATATAAATGTGTTAAAAATTTTATAATATGAATTATACAAAATTTTAACTTTTGCATGGACAGAGCTTAAGTTAATATTCTCTTATTTGTTGCAGAAAGCAGTTTTGGAGAAGCCTCGTAGATGCACAACCAAGTAATGATTAATTTAAAATTACAAACCGAAATTCTGATGAAGACATTAGAGTCACTTAAAAATAAATAGTATAATGAAATGAAAATGTTTTAAAGATAAATAGTGTTTTATTTGTTTAATGTAAGAGAATAATAATAAATATTTATTTAATTAATTTTTCAAATGTATACTGAACTTTATTGACTTTAATGACTCCTTTTCCAGTCTTTGATTATTTAATTGTAATTAATTATTTGCATGCAATCAAAAACTATTTTTAATAATGCCAAAGAAGTATAACTTCTTACGCGCGTACATAAGTACACGCACCTTTTTTTTTTTTTAATTTATTTTATTATTATTTATTACTTAAGATGTCATGTGGAACATGGTGTAATGGTTGCAGCTCCTTACAAACTTTTGCAAAACAAAAAACTTGGCTATTAAAAAGAGTGGCGGAGAGATTTCCAGTTCTTCTCTTCCGTTCTACGCCCTTGATTTGAGAACTGGCAGTAAATGTAAAATTAGAAGCATTTAATGTATTTCTTTTTTTTGACGTTCATAAGTGTACATTACCTACATGAATACATTGCGCTCAATATGTATTTTTTTAGCAATTTCTAATTAAACTGTTTTAAAAAAAATATGTAGCAATAGTTTTATTTGTGCCTTGTACAAACACCAACATGAATCGACTGAATGAATTACATACCTTCTTCCCCCTATCATGCTGAATTCTTTCCGTATCTTGCAGCATCTCCCGTCTCCAAAGCTCAAAGAAGTAATCCGGGTCAGTGTAGAACTTCCTCGCATCCCTTCCATCATCGCGAAACTCGTTGAGCCGTTCCAGGGGCGGAGGGCGATCACAACGCGCGTACGTCGCCAACATGGCGGACGGCATTGAGGTACGCGCAAACAATTGCTGTTGGAAAGTACGCGTCGAGCGGAAGGCTTTTCGCATTTGTATATCTTGGAGAGACACTGTAATTAAAATAAATTAAATATTAATAGCTAGTTTACAGGGGAATGTAGTGTGGCTTCAATAAATGGACAGTTCAACAAAAAAATATTTTTTTCTCATCAAGTAGTTCTTGAGCTTATCGAAGTTAATCAAACTCTAATATATGCCGAAGAAAAATACTTTCAAGTCTTTTCGGAATTTAATTTCGGGAATAGTATGCCTTGGAGACACAGTGTGTGATTCTTTCCCCTTTGGGTGTAAATGTGGAAACGAGGAATTTTACACGAATAAATAATGCCTTCTGTGCCTGACGCACGCCCTCGAATTTTTTCGAGTGTATAGCAAGCCATGCGCACATAGACAGAAAGTCCATTGGTGCACAGCCGGGGATCGAACCTAAGACCTCAGGGATAACGCCTGAAGCCACCTAGCCAAAACTGCTCTACGAATAAATACTTGTGTATTTATATTTCATAAGCAGTAAAGGTATTGTTTAATAAACCTCTCTAATACACAGGAAAATCTAAGATTGGATCCTTCCATCGTTATTCATTTGACTGAATTTTTTCTGTATATTAATATTATTATCACCAAAGTTAAAAACGCAAGAATGCTCACCTTCCTCCACCCCAGAATCCAATTGGGTAACCTTAACCGCAAGCCTGTCTATCCTCGCCTGCAAAATGTTTGTTCGTTCAGCGAGGCCGGTCGCTTCTCGCGTGAGCTCACCAAACATATCCTCCGCATGTTTCGACAATGAGGATAACTGCCTGGAATTTGATAAGAGTTGTTTAACTTATTAGGAAGAACTTTTCGATAAACATAGACGTATTATCTGAATTTATAAAAATTCTTTATAAATGATTAATTTTTGTATATCTTTTTCTTGTGTGACTAATTATTCATAGACTTCTCACAACTTTTTGTAAAAATAATAATTTTATACATTAACTATATCATTGTATATTTTATATACATATACGTATGTTTATGTCCAATAATTTAATAAGTTTATAATTTGTTAGTCATCAAACGATGTAAGAGTTCCGTATTCAAATACCAATCGTAAATACTATACATTTTATTCCTTCCATACAGGAATGTTTTTGTAAAGATATATTTTATAATAAAAGACATGTATCATAAATTGGTCCTAGTGATTCTGGCGCATATTTGTGATATTAAACATTCCATGATTCCAGATTCATCTATATGCAACATAGTATCGACTTCTGGTAATCGACATTGTTATTGTGTTCTTAGTAATTGTGTGTGTTGGATCACTCATAGATCAGAATCAATAAATAATCTTAACAATTAATTTTTTTTATTTACTTTTACACAAGACTTCTTTACTTACACCGCTTATTTTACTATTATTATTTTTTCTACTAAGTATTATTATTGTTACATTCTTTTTCTTTTTTTGCGACTGAGGCGCAAACTAGCTGTTGTGGTCTCTGGCAGAATGACCAGCGCTGTGGAACAGTCTGCTTCTCAGCATAATGCTGAGTCACGGCCAGTTACAACCACAACACACACGCATTACACACTTAAAACGTACCTTGTTCTTTAAAGAAAAAATAATAACTCTTAAGAAATGGATAAATAAATATTTTTGGGCGGATTAAAAACTAGATTTCGTACATGAATGAGTTAGTACATTTTGAGCTAGTACATTATAATTTCAGTTAATACTGTATCCAAGGTATATTGGTATTTTATAGAAATAACCAATAATACTGCATCCATTATACCCTAATCAGGAATTCATAACATACACAGCAAAAAAGTCTTTCGATTCCCGGCAATTATTTCTTGGATATGAAGTTATTGGTGTTGAATTTCAAGCAAAAGATATCCATCGAGGTCTTCCCCAAACTTCAATGCTAAATCGTATCCAACTTGTAACCATCAAACAGCGGGCTATTTTCCATCAGCTATAAATCATAGTGAAAGGTCTCACCTGACAGTATTTGCAAGGGTGCCATTAGTGACGGCTTCGAGCTCCGACGGCACGGCCAGTCGCTCCGGCACAGTGCCACGTGACACGTGTACCGGCTCCACGCACCGCTTCGGCAGCGGCATGGCGATGTGGCTACCTTCTGGACATCACTGGAATTTTAAATTTAGAATTAGACATCTTAAAGAAAAAAGAACTACAAACTTTTGGCTTCAGACACATGTAATTGTTCGAATTCCTTTGCCGTACAAAAGTGTTAATTGCGCGTACATAAAGATCAATAGTTCATCGCTCGGAGTTCAAATGCACGACCTCAGGGTTAACACGCTGCCCTAGGTTAAGTCGTTGGATTAGCAACTAAGCTATCAGTGCTCTGTAGAACTTTTACAATAAATATATCTAATATATAAAATTCTCGTGTCACAACGTTCGTTCCCATACTCCTCCGAAACGGCTCGACCGATTCTTATGAATTTTTTTATGCTTATTCAGTATGTCTGAGAATCGGCTACTATCTATCTTTAAAACCCCAAGTGATAAGGGATGTCCAGCCCAATTTTTTTTTGTTTTTATTTTTTTATACAGCATACAAAAATACAACCTCCCCCTACAATCAACCCCTATTTTTTATTTGTTTATTAAAATCTTATGACTTAAATTCTCGAGGTATATAGAGAAAAATTCACAGAAAAACCTTAAAAGTTATCATTCCAGGAAACCGAACAGTCTCTAGGGTAGAATAGCAAAAAGATGGAACATTTTGCTATGCTATGTACTAAAAAGGTAGGCTAAGTAAAATCACATTAAGGAGAAACGAAATTCGCGGGGGCTAGCATTTACTATAAATTTTGTAAATAACCTAATTGTATTTATTGTAGTTTTTTAGTCTAAGTTTGGCCATGGGCTGTAAATAAATAAATAAATATATAAAATTCAACGACTTTTTTGTTATCTGTGGTGAAAATAGGTTTGATCCGGATGTGGTATCTACGGCTCATTTTACTTCAGTCTAATTAGAGAGTAGTCGTGCAAGCACGGGTGCTTTCATCAAGACCACATAATCGCTAAACTTTTACCTTGGTAGGCGGAGGGTTTTACAATGTTGGATTTAAAATCTACAGAGGCCTTACTACGTATCATGGCATGACTACACTGCAAGATAATAACTCTCAGCTACACTCTCAAATACATGCGCATACGCACCCATTCACTCACTCACACATTCACTCATACTTAATGTCATATAACACATAGTTGTAACACTAAAATGACTTTAAAAAAAACTGTTCTAAATATATACTATGTACCACGGAATAATTGTTTTCTAGTTACCTAGCGATATATGAATTTTGTCAGAAATAAAGTTTTTATGATTTATTATTTCATGTTTTTTTAAGGGCACAATCGTTGTTCCAGCTTTGTGGTGTATTTTGTTCACTTATTAAAACCGCCACATAAACAAACGTAGGACGGGTAAAAATGTACATGCAGGCATTCCTCCCTAGGAGGAAGGACTAGATGAACCACGGCCTTTAAAATTTCATTCACACTTTTATATTTAATTAGCAAACTTTTAAGTTATAAAAACCACTTGAACTCATTACGCAGTATATTTTGCGCAAAGCTGTATTCTTCAAGAAAATCGTACTAAAGCGAGGTCACAACCTCATTTAACCACATCCTCTAGTTAGTTTTATTGCGTTCCCCGACGAACGAAACGGGCAGGGATACAAATTATAATAAAAAGGAAATCGTATTATGACATTACCTATATTTTAATGTCACTATGCTTAGTCTATATAAAAATGAGTGGACGCTTAGCGCTGTGTTTTTGTGTGTTGTGTGATATATGAAATCTGATACGTTTTTGACAGAGGAGTCACTTGGAGCTAAGTGAGCGTTCAAGTATTACGTAACGAATTTTGGGGGGGGGTCCTTTTGTAAAACGTTACGAATTACGATGCGGGGCGGGGATTGAATTTGTTAATATTATTTTCGACTTTCCAGTACTTTACACCACATAATGGTAACTTTTAGGTATAAAGAGTCACTAGGTCATGAAACGTTTTACTATACTTGGGTACAGTACTGTACTTACGTACAGAAAAACGTTACGGCGCGTTACATGGGGGGGGGGTCAATAATCTCCAAAAATTGCGTGACGTAATACTTGAACGTTCCCTAAGTCTCGACTATAATTCCAAGAGAATAACTCCCATATGTCAATATGGCCGTCCCTATGGTAACATATAGTCTTGGGACTGAAAATAAGACTTGGCTTAAAGGTCTCGTTAGCAGGCCATAAAATTGAAAAAAAAAAGCATATAGTCTCTGCTTAAACTATGTTAACTCAGTCTTACTTTGTACCTAACTTATAGTTTAAGATTGTTAACGTTTGGGTACCCATACATATTTTTATGCCTTTTAATATTTAGCAGTTATTTTTATTATTAAATATATTACTACTGTTATAAATGTCCATGCTTCGGTGGTCACAATAGTAACCCTTTTTATTTTAATTTCTGTTGTATGTTTTTTATAAATAAAAATATATAAAAATAGCAATCTGTCTCCTTGTAATAAAAATGCAGTAATTTTTAGTAGCATCGTAATAAATGTATATGTATTTTAAAAAAGAGGCTAGTTAAAAGGAGTCCGATGTGAAGCTAAGACTAAGTTTTTTTGAAGTATAAAGTATTTTTGATATACCTAATTAATTTTGGATAAAAAAAATCTTAATTTCCATAATAAGTATTTGTTAAGTTTAAAATAACATTATTATTTAAATTACGGGATAAATAATACACTGTAAATATACATTATATAAAATGTGTTTTTGAGTTCCTCACATTCCTACTAATGTTTTGCGTTATATAGCGGTACAAGCAATAAAGTTCATGTCGTGCAAATTACTTTATCATTCTAATATTTATTGCGGTTTACCGAGAAATTTTAATTAAACGTGTTTTCGTCACCATTACTAACGACGTAGTTGAATTAACTTTTTAATTATCTGCCCATAATGATCTTAGTGAAAAAGTTGACTCGCGCTGCTTTCTAGTTTCGATTAAATGAAATTTTTTTCTGATTTAAGAAAACGGTTTACTAAACGTTAATCTTATTACTAATATATAAAAACAGAGTGCAAAACATATCTAAATGTTTTATATGTTTATATATGTACGATTTAATTGTTTGTCGGTCTGTTCAATAAATAAATAATCGTCTGTTTTCAGTATGATTTAGGAAATCTTAGAAAGATTTACATTAAAAACGAAAAAAGAAGCGTTCATAAAACTTCTTTATAAATGATACGTTTATTGTTGTTAGAACACAAACCCGTCTTTCGTACTTATAATATCGTATGAAAATGAAGTTTCAGATTATTGGTACCGAAATTTAAAAGCATTTTTATCGTATCATAAAAAAGTACGTAGCACCGAAGTATCAATAAATAACATTTATTTCCCACGACTCTATATTATGATATAGCATGATGGTAAATTTCTACATGTTTATTTACAATATTATAAGGTCCAAGGTAAGGTAATCTGAACAATATTATAAACCATCCTATGTGTATCAAATAAATATAGATCAAATTTTTGCGAAGTATTACTTCGCTTAAAACAGAAATTAAAATATGAATTATATGTTAATAAACTTTACCATTTTTCTAAATTGAAAAAAAAACATAATTCTAGACATACATATTATTTAATTCGTTCGAACTTGTATTACAGTAAGTACCACTAGCATATAAACTAAAATAAAAAATTAAATATGTTTAAAATAGTATATACATGGAAACCTAAATATTAAAGTCAGAAGAGGGATTGGAATCACCACCAGATTACATCCTTTTATTTTACTTCCGGACGCATTGACGCGCTGGCGACATTAAAACAAAATACATCGAACGGTTCATAAATCATTTTAGATCTAGCGCTGTGGAGGAAGAAATTCAAATAGAATACATAATTAGTTCACTTTCGTACAGGAACCGTCGCGGTAATTACACGGTGTACACGATCAGGTAATTGCTACCGTAAAATAAATTCTGTGAACACGGAACGAGTAATTTGACAGTATCAAACTTCTTATTAAGTTAAAGCATTAACGAGTGGTTAAGTTCTAATAAAGGAAGATGACAATTATCTTGAATAGGATTTTACTAACTTTCACGCAATTCGGCTTCTACCCTAACCTAACATATTCTGTTGAGCTCTTCTCTTTTCCAGTGGTAAACAGCAGTTAATTTATTATAGACGAAAGCTATCATGTTTTGTCACATGTATCTGCAGTGACGCGAGAGTAATAAGGACAAAAACAATGGTTAATTGAGGCAAACAGTAGTTTAGTGGTTAGCGGTTAATTCTCGTGACATTTAGCTTCCAGTTGAATTCCCGGCGCAATAAATGAACTAGTAAATCCACTGACAAAATTCCTGCGAAAACATATGTCGAGGAATATTTTTTCACACATTTAAAATCGTAAACGTGTATATGCATAAGTTTACACGCACGTGCGTGTAAACTTATGTTAATGAATTCTCAACTACATACAAATATATCATACCACAGAAAGAAACATCAGTTTTACAACCCCACTTAGGAAAAAGGACAAGTGAAGAACAATAGCTTCCTGACCCAATTACGTTGGAAAAACTGGTAGAATATTGTATGGAATTAATATTACCGTGAAAGGTCGATGACCGCGCATTTTATCGCAATTTTTTTACGATTGCGATAAAGAGATATTTACATTCAAAGACGACACACAAAACCTAGAACCAGACTAAAATTAGCTGAAAGTTAGAAATCTTTCAATTGACTATACAAAAGTTTATTTATATTTAACAGAAATAATACTAATTTTGACACTATGTGTATACTTCACTATGAAGGAAATGGAAATATGCAAGGAAAATTAGTAGCCTTCTATGCATGATTTTTGATTCGAAACGAATCCGGAACAGGCAGGCTTATTTTATTAATTTAGACCACAAAATAGGTTACTGCAGTCCAACATATTTTTATTGACTTTGATTTCAAAAGATATTGAATGTTTTGCCCTTATCACTTTTGTGTCATTGCAAATAAATACAAAACGATTTAAGGTTTAT